CGATAGAATTTGTCCCTTTTTTTGTTTGTTTTTTTTGTTTTGTTTTTTTATCTTCTCATTGTCGTTGTTTTTGTTCCTTTTTTTGGCCCTCCCTCTTTCTTTCTTTTCTCTCTTTTGTTGTTTTGTTTTGGGGAGGAGGGCGCTTCTTGTGTGCATGCGGGCATGTGTGCAGGAGGAACGCCTGCCATTCCCCGCAGTGAGCGAAGTGAATGTGTGGGTGTGGAAGGCGAGAGAAGATATTTTAAGAAAATCAAAAAAAAAAAAAGAAAAAATGGAAGAATGGAGGACGGGAGGACTGTTCGGATGCGTGTGTACACGTGCAATTGATGTGGGGGAGAAAACGAAAAAGAAAAAAAAAAAAAAAAAAAACTTTTTTTCATTGGCTCTTTCGTATCGTTCCTCCACCTTCTTTCTCATTTGTATATGTACATTAGAATATTTATGTATACATGTGTGATACATCCCTCCTTTTTTGTGTGTTTTGTTTTGTGCTCCGCCCTTCACACTCGTACTGGGTTTGTTCGTGTATGTGTCTTGCTGTGGCGTTTCCTCCGCAGCGATTTGTTTGTTTGTGTGAAGGACGGAAGGATGGAGGGATGGAAGGTGGTGGTGGCGATGGGAAGCAACTCAACGGAATATGGACGAAAGGGGGTTTTTGTTTCTTTTGTTTTTTTTTGTTTGTTTTTTACGAAACAAAAGTGAGTCATTGAAGAGGTACTGTTGTGCAACGCTGTAATTGCTTTGCCGCCGCCCTGTAATTTGACTTTTTGTCTCTGTGTGTATGTAACATGGGGCTGCAAATGTTCTGTGATTTGTTTCTCTGTTAACTTCTTCTATTTCTGTGGCTGATCTTTTTGTTTTCCGTCTATCTTGTTGTGTACATGCCTTTCATATAATGTATACATGTAATTTTGTTTTTTTGTTGTTGTTTTTTTTGATTTTGAGAATTTGCGGGGGGAACGCCTTTTTTGTTTTGTTTTGTTTTTTGTATGCGTTGAACGCCGATATTGACGAGTACGGCGCATGAGCCTTTGTTGGCCTGTGTGTCGGCGAAGTTTGTTTTGTTTTGTTTTGTTTTTATGGTGACTGATCGTTCTTTTTTCCCTCCACCGCCTTCAGTGCCTCTGCTTGGGCATACGATTCATTCATCCACCTTCAGCTTGCGGGCGGCGCATGGACGCTTGCGGTTGTTGATGTTGTTTTTTTGTTTGTTTTGTTTTGGCTGATGAAATCCCTCTTACTGCCGCTTTCTGCCTGCGTGAATGCGTGTGTTCTCGCGCTGCGTGTGTGTCTGTGGTGGGAATTTGGGTGGGGGACGAGTGGCGGTTGGCGGAACCGAATACCGAGGACAGTGGAGAAGTCATTTGAAAAAAAAAAAGTGAAAAAAAAAGAGGAGATATAAGAGAGGGAGGGAAGCAATGAAAGTAATGCATGAACGGTACCGAATTGCGGCAGGAGGTGGGGCGGTGGTGGTTGCCGTCGTGTTGAACTGCGGTCTTAAACGCCTCTGAACACCGCCCACACGCACATATCGCACGATTTGTATCATGTCTCACGCTGTAGTCAAAAGAAACACAAAGAAAAAAAAGCTTTATGCATACATACAAAACAGACACACACACACATATATAGATATATTCTTATATGCATGTGTACATGTATATATGCAGGAGAGAGAAAAAGTGAGAGTCTCAGTGTGAGGGGAGGAAGGGGAGAAGTGATGATTGTGGAAGGACACGGAGATGTGTGTAAGAATACTGTTGTTGTGTTGGCGCTGCATCTCTTTCATTTCTTTATTATTTTTCTCTCCTTTTTACGGAGCACTGTTGGACGTCTTCGTTTCTTTTTATCCACTTTTTTTTTTCTTTTTTCTTTTTTTTGTATGTGTGCGGATGCGTGCTTTCTTTTCTCGGGTTTTTTTTTTCTTTTTCTTTTCCGTACCGTTCCTTTCATGTTCTTCAATTTGTTTTTGCGCTGGCGATGATTGTCTCATAACTTCGCCACGGCTTATTTTGTCTATTTTCCTTTTTTTTTTTCCCTCACATTGTTTAGCCACAGCATCATGACTCCCGGTTTTGTTTTTGTTTTTGTTTTGTTTTGTGTGTGTATGTGCGTCTGTGTGGTTTTTTTTTTTTTGTTGTTGTTGTTGTTTGGTGAGTTCCTTATGATTTCTCTTTTTTTTTTTTCTTTCTCTTTTGATTTCTCGTCAGTGTCGGTGTCTTATAAAACAAGCAGTGAATTTCAATACGAACCGTGTGTTTGTTTTACTTCTTTTTCTTTTTTTTTTTTTTCTCTTTTTATAAATATTTATATTTGTGTGTGTGTGTGTGTGGCTTGCCGCGCATTCATCTGCTACTCCATCGCTGCTGCTTTATCGTTCCAATAAATGATGGATAACAGTGCCCACATCAAAATACATATTACATACATACATACATATTATACTATATTATACTATATTATATTATATTATATTATATTATATTATATTATATTATGTATTTATGTAATATGTGTGTCTTGGTAGGTAATGAGGGTTTATTCCTGCATGTCCATTGGCCGCACATTACTGATGGCGCATGTTTTGTTTTGTTTTTTGTTTTTTGTTTTTTTGTACGCATGTTTTTTTTTTTTTGGTTCCGCGCATTTATTATCTGTGTGTGTGCTCTTTTTTTTTTTTTGTGTGTGTCTTTCTTTTTTACGTGATGTTGTACGCACACGCGCAAAAAAAAAAAAAGGGCGGGTATTTTCCCCACTGAAGAAAAAGGGAATTGGCGCACGCAAGGATGGACCTCCCCACAATACGCCGCTACTTTGATGTGGCGGAGGAGTTGTACGCAGCGGGTCATCGCTTGCATGCATTTGCCACGTTGCATGCCCTTTTCGCTGTCCCGACAACCATCCAGCTGTACTACCGTCGGGAGGAAATTCTCTGTCGTGTACGTGCAGCCGAGATGCTGCTGTACAACTCCTCACCGCCGCAGCAAGGCAAAAACAGTACCGGGAGTGGCAGTTCTGCGCCATCTGCGACGGTGGCACGACTGGATTTGGCGTACTCCGTCTTGTCGCCGATGATATCTTCTCGATGGTACTTGGAAGGCGTCATCGTCTGCCCCCTGCTGTGGGATGACGGCAGCAGCGACGGTGCGCGAGCCGCGGATGGGGAACGAAAAGGAGAGAAAGCGGGAGAGGACGGTGAGGGCAGATTTGTTCCTGTTGCGTTAATTGTGAAGGCGTACGTGTTGAGTGCGATTGTGCATCGTCGTCGTCTCCGACACACGCAGGCGGTGAAGTGCATCGAGGCGGCTGGGCAGTGGTGCAGCACCGCCTTTTGCGCGTCGCTGACTGGTCTGGCCACGAGCCTCCCAAACGACGCGGAGGCGGAGGCCCAGCAGAGGGAAGAAAAACGCTGCTGTGAAGCCTTTCTTTCAGTGGAGTTTTGTCGGGTGTATTATTCGCAGCTTGTGAGCGCCGGAACGGCTGTTGTTGCGGAAAATCGCACACCGAACACGGCGGTCCTTCATGCTGCACGCACGCACGCATTAGATCGGCTGCTCTATCATGCAAAGGAATACGCGAGTTACGTCACATCTGACGGCCTGGAGCCACTCCTTCTGGAGGATAAAAGGCGCAGACAGTGTAGTTCACTGTGTTTTTCTTCTCCAAAGAACTTGTTTTCCATCCGAGCGGCGGCGCGCGTGCTTTCTCACTACTACTGTGCCGCGTTAATCCTTGACCACCGGTTGGTGGAGGCGGAGCGGCAAATGCAGCGGTGCGGAGTGTTGTTTGGTTTCTCTCCCGAGATGCTGTGCATGATGCAGCTCCTTGCGGTGGGACTCAGGGGACCATTAGCATGGAAGGGGCCGCGTGGAGTGAAACGACAGCGCAGTGAACAGGTGCCCGATGAATCTCAGGTTGCACAGAACGAGGGAAGCATGTCGCCGAAGGAGGGACTTAGATGGATGCATGATGGGTTGTTGGTGGCATTGAGGTGTTATTTGACCATGCATGCAGCTTCTATGGATTGTGCGACCGCGGAGACAACGGTATCTTTTAACTCGGTTTCAGAAAGAATCCCTGTTGATGCAAACACAGTGGCCGTCAATAATACTCAAAGTGGGAATAATCCGGTACGTCTTCTGTTTCAAAGAACACTGCGTTGTATTGATGAGCAGTTGACGCTCCTGACGACAGAGGTAAGTCAAAATGGTTGCGAGGTAAATAATGCCCGAAAGGATCTTCTCTACAGTTCCCCCTCAGCTGATATTCGTTTTTTGGTGCTGCTGAAATGTGCTGCACTTGTGACGATGACTACATATGCTCTTTCACAATTGTGGCTTGTGGAAGCAGTGAGACACCTCCATCAGTTGCGTCGCTACATGAACGTTTTCCACAAGCACACGACAAGTGTGCGAGTGCATTATCATCTGATGGTATCCCAACTAACCTCGATGCTTTCATTGCGTCATCTCTCAGGCAAAAGTAATGTGGCAAATTACACGGAAACGCGTGAACCCAAGCGACTCTCGGAAAGGGAAGAGGAAGAGCGGACTGCGGGGTTTGATGTGGGATTGCCATATGCGCACGTCCTTGCTGCGGAGAGGGCGACATTAAGTGCTGCTTCTGTATGTCTCTGTGGCCCATCCACACGGCTGCTTGTGTCGCTTATGAAGGGGGCCGCGATTTCACACGCAGCCCGTGTGGGGTCGGCAATTCACATCACGGATGCCGGAGTCACGCTTACTCATCTCACTGTACACCAACGGCATCGTTGTGCGATGGCCCTCACCAAGGTGTTAGAAGTTCTCAAGGCAAGCTTTGTTGCAGTATCTGCGCAGGAAGAAGAAGAAGAAAAGAGGAAGGAAGATGATGAAAGCAGTCTTCGACAAATAAGGTCCGCGTGGAATAAGTCCAACCAAGTTTTTTTTCTTCTCCTTTGCGGTGCGGCTGCCATGTCAGAAGAAAAGGACGAGTTAACAGCTATCAGCATGTTTAAGAACGCCCTAAAGCAGGTGAGACGATACTTTGGCCCCACGAGCGGCGTTGCCTCGGAACCCTTGTACCTTCTCGCAATGGCATACAATGAGTCTGAACGGATGGAGCTGCATCCATCCGAGGCGTCCACGCCAGTCTCGGAAGGTGGCAACGAATATCTTCTTGCTATTGCCAATGGGGCAACAGACAGTGCACAGCAGACCTTTTCAGTGGCCTGGCAAGTGGCTTCAAAAGCGAGGCGGTTGGCACAGTTGCATTGCGTCTTGGCTCTGCAGGAGAGTGACAGTAAAGAAAATCACCGACATATTGTGGGCGAATGGAATATGGAGGTACACCGTGTGTGTTTGCTGATGCGACGGGAATTAATGGAGGTCGTGTCTTTTTAGTTACTATGCGGACTCTTCTTCTTTTCTTGCATCTAAGACCGCTCCATCGCCGTCACCTCCGTCCTCCTTTTTTTTAAAGGACGGGAATGTTGTTGGGCGATGCCGCACCAACAGAAACAGAAGGTGAACACGTGTCTGTCTTTATTTTAATTCTCTTTTCCTTGTCTTTTTTTTAAAAGGCGTGAGGAGGGGGATGGCCACCCACGCATTGGGTGGTGTTTCGTGTGCGTGTCTGTTTGTGTGGTACTCTTTCTCTTCCCCACGTCTTGTTTATCTTTTTTTTTTCTGCGTGTTTGTGTGTATGTGTTGTTTCTGTGGGATGCGTGTATTTTTTTTTTCTTTTTTTTGGGGGGTGGGGCTCATCCACGGAAAGGAAGCGAAGAGAAATTCATATACCTCCTCCCCGCATCTATCAGGTGTAAGGAGCAAGCGGTGAAGAAAAAGTGAAAGAAAAAATAAGGCAGCAACAAGAATAAGAAACAAAAAAAAAAACCCGAGGAGTCGGTAAACGTGTTTAGTACGTGGTAAGTGTGACGGTTTTGTCGTGCACGGGTATTATTTCTTGAATTGACAGTGGTAGACAGTCATGTTTGAAAGTAACCTGCTCTCGCTGATCAACACCGCATCGCCGCTTCCCACGTTTGTGGAGGTGGACTTTGTGAACTCCCTTAACAACTCACTATCAAAGGCCTTCCGGTTTGCCCACGTGTTACTCGCTGAAAAAAGCGACATAGCGGCCATGTGTCTGCCGTGGGATGCTGAGATTTGGCTCGTCCTGCACTCTCTTCTCGAGCATCGACTTCTCTTTCATGCGAATACAACGTTCTCGGAGATGTTGTTTGGCCTTCGTCGTGGATGCATTGCATCGCCATCGAAGCCGTCTGGGTCTCAAGGGAGGCTGTCGTGGTGGGTTCGCGGCCCCCTCCCCGCTCCCTCATTGGAGGAAAAGGCGTTGCAAGCACCGGACGCTGCTGCCTCCCCTGCCGCATTGGGAGCTATCTGCGACTCTCCATTGCCTCAACGACATGGTGAACTCACGGCAGCGGAGATGCAGGCGGCACAGGGTGCCTCTTATGGCCACCTCCGTTTTAGTCCCATCACCAACAGACAGCGGTACATTACGCTGTTTCTCATCACGGTAATGCCCTACCTGAGAGAGCGTGCTGCTAAATGGTACACGCATCGGATGGACTCTTCTCCTGAAGCCAACTCTATGCGCATTGCTTATGCCACTCGTTACCCCACACGGGCGCGAATAAAAGAGTTATTGACTCGACTGTATCCTGTTTTTTGCACGGCATTAAGGAGCTTGAGGTTTTTTTACCAGATGCTTTTTCTTCTGGAGTTGACGCCATATACCACACCGCTTCATCGTTTGTTTGGTATCGTTTTGCGGCGTCTACAAGA